TAACTCCTCAGGAATTATTTAATGTCGAAGACAGGACTACGATCACAGCCGGAATCAACACTGAGTCCCCGCCAGAAATATTTAGAGACGGTCTGGTATGCGTCTGTTCAAGGACTTACGGCAAATTATGCGCGTACTAGTCCCAGAGGGTTGGCATGGTGACTGTGACCCGAGTGCTTTGTCCAGGGCCCTTCAGAGGCATCGCCCGGCTCCCACCAGCTTGCTGCCCAGGAAGAATGTCGACTTTCAAGGTTGAGCGCTCGCGACACCTCACATTGAGAGGACTCTCAAGACAAGGCTCACTTCCTCACGGTAAGAAGCAATGAAGAGGGTAGATAAGGAAGGAAGCAACGTACCTCATAATGCTGCCCCCAACCACAGATTTATCACCGGCAACCTGATGTGCATTTATGATGACTGGTCTTTGCCTCGGCACAACCAACAACAGAATGTAGTTCCACCTCGACTTTAATGCCACATCAGCGAGCTCTCATCATCCAGCGTACATCCCTTATGTCACCACATAGCTTCCTGGCGTGCCCACACGACCCTGGACCGCCTTATGTTCAACGCCCAAGCCTTATCACTGCCCCACACCTCATGCGAAGCACCGAACAGCTATTGCGAAGAACCAATGAGCGCAGTTCGAACCAGCTCCGATACCAAATTGCAAGGAAAACGAACAGAAGCGAGATGACAATATTCAGATTGCACAATCACATTGAAAGCCAAATCGTAACACAGTGTTCAGGAAGCAGCATTGCACCAATATAATACCAATGGAGAATCGTAGCACTGAAAGTCAATGTCAATGAGAGCTTGCTCTTGCCACCACCAACATATGTATCCAGTCTCTATCTCCCTACTTGGCGCTCGGCGCCCAGCCTACTCCCTACACAACTACTAGCCTACTAATTGACAATGCAACTGTTGATGTCAGCACACCCAAAGTACTTGAAGATGCCGCCCATGCAGAACCATCGCCAATACCAGGTATGTGCCCTCACATCATCATCATCATCATCGTTCTCTCTCCCCCTTGACTCTCTCCCACGTCTCACTTTGTTGTACACCGAAGACCACCCCTGCGCCTCACTTTACATCCAAGCCCTGCCAGCTATGGAGGCTGGGCTATGGCGCTGCCCTCAGCAGCGCCCTGCTCCCTGCACGACCGCACGTGCCTGCACCTCGCCACTCAGCGCTAGCAGCAGCCCACGAGCTTCAGCTCCAGCAGCGCTGCCGTTAGCATGCGAGTGCCCCAATGGCTGGCCAGGCAGCGAGCTCTTTCCTATATGGAAAGAGCCTGCCTCATTCGGCAGCCTGGTTGGACTGGTCTGGGCCCAGAAGCTTCCGGTAGGCCCCAGGATGCTGCACCTCTGGTGCAGCTACTGGGCCTCATTCGGTTGGGCCTCCCAACTGTCTGTGTTTGAGGCTGCAAGTCTCGCGCAGGGCCTGTGCTTTCGGAAAGGCCTAGAAGGCCTGGGAATTTCCACGCTGCTCGGCCTGTGTTTCCCTTCAACCAACTGGGGCGGCGAAACTGTCTGGACCCCAAATGCGAAATTGACAGCCAATGGCCTCTCGTTTTTTGTTAGGCCCGCCTTCACTCAGGGCGGGCACATATGCTGCAGGGGGCCCCTTAGGCCTGCCGAGGACCCAGATCCTAGCAGCTATGGCTAACGGGCGAGGAGAGTGACCACGGAGAAGAAGAAGAAGAAGAAGAAGAAACAAACCTGTGGGAATGATGGAGTGGCTCGTCGGCGGGGTGCGAGATGGCACGACTGGCTGGCGAAGGCGACGACGGCGATGATGCACCCTGCGGAGACCTATCTAACATGCCGCAGCTGCACCGAGTTATGGCGCGGCTGGCTGTCTGAGGCGACGACGGAGCGGCTGCGCAGACTGGAGGTGAGCGGGGTTGAACACACGATGCGTTTTCCCCCGCTGCGCGAATTCGGTTTCCCACCAGAAGTGATTCAAAACAGTGGCCGATCTTTGCCGCTGATCTGGGACGATCGGCGGCCAAGATTGGCCACTTTTTGAACTTTGAAAACTGGGGCCTGCAGGACCCGGTTTCATAATTGCGGGGCAGGGCCTGCCCCCACGAGGCCTCC